GCAAATCCTGTGGGATTCCTCGATGCCAAGGCCCCAATCTTTTTCCTGAGGTACAAAGACCTCATCATTTTCATCCAAAATTGAAAGGTTCCTTGATGGTCTTCTTATCAGCCTCTTCCCTTCCCTTCAGTTCCAGCTGGGAGTTGTAGATGTTAACTCTGAACTGACAGCTTTCTCCAAGACCAGCAAAACAGATGTCTGTGTTTAATACCTTTACATTATTTTCAAATGTCCCTACTTCTTTATTGAAAAATTTTGTTAGATCTTGTACAAATGGTAATAATCCATTGGATGTTTCCAGCACTCACATACCATTATGATGGTGGTGGTGGAGAGGCTTGTAATGTGTAAAAACTGGAACAGATCATACTATAATGTATGAGGAATAGTAAAAATCATATTAAATAGAATTTTACATATGTTACCTAGTTTGTCTAATAATAATAATAATAATAATAATAATAATAATACTAATATTAATACTAATAATAATAATAATATGTTTGTATAGAGCAAGTAGTTTTAAGATGCAAATGATACCATCAGCGGAGTAGGGGATGGAAGCCAAGTCCTGTTTAACTCCTTGTTTTTCTTGTTTTTAATATAATATAGTTTGTTGTTTATTTTTTCTGTTGTATATATTAGGGTTCTCACAAAGAAGCCTGCAAAATATGGGCTTGACAATGCAGCAGTTAGGCAGATCGGTAATTGGTGGACTGGCCAAACCCTAACACCAATGTTATTCTCAGCTGCATCAATAGAAGCATAGTTTCTAGAGACAAAGGAAAGCCATAATCCCACTCTATTCTGCTTTGGCTAGACCTTACCTTGGAGCCACCTGTGGCTCCAAGGTGATTAAACCCTTGTGCCAGCGGGATTGCTGACTGAAAGATCAGCAGTTCAAATACGGGGAGTGGGATCATCTCCTGTCTGTCAGCTCCAGCTTCTCATGCAGGGACATGAGAAAAGCCTCCCATAGGATGGTAAAACATTTGGGTATCCCCTAGGCAACATTGTTACAGATGGCCAATTCTCTCATACCAGAAGTGACTTGCAGTTTCTCAAGTTGCTCTTGATACACACACACAACCTTGGAAATATGCTGTGTCCAGTTCTGGGTATCACAATTCATGGTATTGACAAGATGGAAGGTGCTCAGAAAAGTGTGATCAAAATACTCAAATGTCTGGAAGCCAAGCCCTTTGAGGGTTGGCTTGAAAAGTTTATTTATTTACTGTATTTATACCACCTTTCTCAGCCTGTCGGCAACTCAAAGCAGTTTCAGTGACTCAAGGTGGTTTCTGTATAGCTTAGAATCATAGTTAGAAGAGACCACATGGGTCATCTAGTCCAACCCCCTGCCATGCAGGAAAAGCACAATCAAAATATCCCTGACAAATGGCCATCCAGCATCGGTTTAAAATCCTCCACCACATTCTGAGGCCAAGAGTTCCATTGTTGAACAGGTCTTACGGTCAGGAAGTTCTTTCTAATACTCAGATGGAATCTCCTTTCCTGTAATTTGAACCCATTGCTCTGAGTCCTAGTTTCCAGGGCAGCAGAAAACAAGCCTGCTTTTTCTTCCTTTCACATATTTATACATGGCTATCAGGTTTCCTCTCAAACATCTCTTCTGCAGGCTAAACATACCCAGCTCTTTCAGCTGCTCCTCATAGGGCATGGTCTCCAGACCTTTGATCATTTTTGTCACCCTCCTCTGCACACCTTCCAGTTTGTCAGTAGCTCTTGATATTCGAGAAAAGAAAGCTGAGAGGGGACATGGGAGCCATGGTTAAATATTTGAAAGGATGGTTTGCTGTGAGTTTTCCAGACTATATGGCTATGTTCCAGAAGCATTATCTCCTGATGTTTCGCTCACATCTATGGCAGGCACCCTCAGAGGTTGTGACTTCTCAACCTCTGAGGATGCCTGCCACAGATGTGGGTGAAACGTCAGGAGATAACGCTTCTGGAGCATAGCCATACAGTCTGGAAAACTCACAGCAACCCAGTGATTCTGGCCATGAAAGCCTTTGACAACAAATTTGAAAGGATGTCACATTAAGGAGGGGGAAAGCATGTTTCTTGCTTCCCTAGCTTATAAGACAGGGAGAAATGGATTCAAATTGCAGGATAAGAGATTCTGGTTAAATGCATTAGGAAGAACTTCCTGAGGGTCAGAGCTGTTCACACTGGAATATGCTGCCTTCTTCTGGAGGTTTTTCAGCAAAGGCTGGATGGCCATCTTCTGGGAGTGCTTTGTTTGCATGTTCTGCATATTGGGGGGGGGGGCTCAGGATCTCTTCCAACTGTATGATCCTGTGCCTCTATCACAGGGGTCCACAAACTTTTTAAACAAAGGGCCAGGTCACAGTCCCTCAAACTGTTGGCGGGCCGGATTATAATTCGAAAAAAATATGAATGAATTCCTATGCACACTGCAAATATCTTATTTGTAGTGCAAAAAACATTTAAAAACAGTACAATAATTAAATTCAAGAACAATTTTAACAAATATAAACTTATTAGTATTTCAATGGAATGTGTGGGCCTGATTTTGGCTGATGAGATAGGATTGTTGTTGTTGTTCTGTGCTTTCAAATAGTTTCATACTTAGGTCAACCCAGAGAGAGGGCCAGGTAAATTACCTTGGAGGGCCGCATCCGGCCCCTGGGCCTTAGTTTGAGGACCCCTGCTCTATCAGGTAGTCAATTGCCTTTTAGCAATAACCCTTACATGGCCTTTACGTTTTGTAAAAAATGTTGTTGCTACTGTAACAACAACAACAACACTTTATTTGTATACCACCCTATCACCTCAAAGGGATGCAGAGCGGTTTCCAACATGTAAGGCACACATTCAATGGTGGAAAGAAACCATACAGTCATTTGCATCAAAATAAACACATTTGACAGTATAACACAACCTAATTACATTTAATAGACAAAATAACAACAACTGAAGACATCATAAAATACAAAAAAAAAATCTGCTAAAACACATTAAGGAATTTTTTTATTATTATTTCTTTTTGTCGTGTCAGGAACAATCTGGGAAACTGCAAGTCACTTCTGGTGTGAGAGAATTGGCCGTCTGCAAGGACGCTGCCCAGGGGACCCCTGGATGATTTTGATGTTATTATCATCCTTGTGGGAGGCTTCTCTCATGTCCTCGCAAGAGGAGCTGGAGCTGATAGAGGGAGCTCATCCGCCTCTCCCCCGATTCGAACCTGTGACCTGTTGGTCTTCAGTCCTGCTGGCACAGGGGTTTAATCCCCTGCGCCACCGAGGGCTCCAAAATTATTAAAAACCCATACATTATTATTATTATTGCATTTTACCTGTGTGAATGCAATCTATTGTGAAACAGATATTTTCAACTACAAGTTTTACAACACTGGAAAACATACATTTTGGTGCCTCAAATGTTAGTCCTGATTCTGGCTATATTTGACCTGCTGATTCCAAAAATGGCACCAGTTTTCCCCCATCAGCTCTACTTTTTTGTGCCACAGAGAACATATGTCATCTACCAGTCACCCATAGAAAACCAGTATAGCTCTATCTAAGAAACTTGAGCTGATGTGGTCTATGCCATCAGGCCCGTAGCCAGGATTTCGTTTCCGGGGGGGGGGGGGGGGCGGGCTAAAAAAATTTCAGGGGGTTTGGGGGGCTGAGTTTCGGGGGGGGGCCTGAGTCTGAGTGAAAGAGGGTCTAGCCTAGCAAACCTTTTGTATCATTACCCCAATACCCCCATGCATATGGGATATATTGAGTATGGTGATCAGATCATGATATGAATAAACATAACAGTTTAAATAATGCACCAGTAAGGCCTTTTCACGAACCACCATGAGAATTTCGGGGGGGGGGGACTGAAGCCCTCAAGCCCCCCCCCCCCCCCCCCCCCCCCGCTACATGCCTGTATGCCAGGCAATTCACCAAATTCACTGTATGTGTTTAATAACGTTGGAAAGGTTTGTTCCTGCTTTGCCCTGTGCCTGTTTTCCAGAGCCTCCCCATCCCTCTCACTGTTGCCTTTATTTGGAGAAGCGGGTTTTGTTTTTTTTCCAGGAGAGGGGAAGAGCATCTCTCTTACCTTCCCTCTTTTTTCCTCCCTACTTGTGGGGAGGTGAGAAACTTACCCAGTCTTTGGAGCATAAACAAAACAGAGGCCCCCCGCAGCAGTAACAACCGCCCCTCCGGGTTGTTGTAGGTTTTTCCGGGCTGTATGGCCATGTTCCAGAAGCATTCTCTCCTGACATTTCGCCTGCATCTATGGCAGGCATCCCCAAAGGTGGTGAGGTCTGTTGGAAATTAGGAAAATTGAGTTTCCAGCAAGCCTCACAACCAGCAAACCCTATTTCCTAGTTTCCAGCAAACCTCACAACCGTTGAGGATGCTTGCCACAGATGCAGGCGAAACGTCAGGAGAGAATGCTTCTAGAACATGGCCATATAGCCCGAAAAACCTACAACAACCCAGTGATTCCGGCCATGAAAGCCTTCGACAATACATTAACCGCCCCTCCCTCCTTCCTCTTCCTCCCTCCTTTCCTCTTCCTCTCTTTCCTCGAGGTTCAGGGCGGAGCCTTGGGGAGGGGGCTCTTGGAAGAGATGCCTGGGAGGAGGGGGAGCGAGGGGGCGGGGTTATGCAGATGAGAACCGAGGGTTCTTTGAAGCGATGCACAGAGGGGGGCGGGGTTATGCAGATGAAGCCGAGGGCTCTTTGAAGGGATGCACATTGGAGGGGCAGGGGTGGGATTATGCAGATAAGAGGTGAGGGCTTTCTGAAGCGATGCACACAGGAGGGGGCGGGGTTATGCAGATGAAGCCGAGGGCTCTTTGAAGGGATGCACATTGGAGGGGCAGGGGTGGGATTATGCAGATAAGAGGTGAGGGCTTTCTGAAGCGATGCACACAGGAGGGGGCGGGGTTATGCAGATGAGAGCCGAGGGCTCTTTGTAGGGATGTACATGGAAAGGGGGCGGGGTTATGCAGATGAGGTCTGAGCGCTGTATAGCGGAGGGGAGGCGAGCAGCATCAGCGCAGGCTGGAGAGCGGAGTCGAGCGGGAGGCCGGGCAGGCGAGGCCTTGGCCAGCGGGAGGAAGGAAGGAAGGAGGAGGAGGAGGAAGAAGAGGAGGAGGAGGAAGAGGAGAGCCACTCTCGGAGGCGGCAGTCTTGGTGGCCGAGCGCAGGAGGAGGAGGAGGCATCGCGGCGAAGGATGTGGAAGAGAAGGAAGAGCTGACCCTGCTCAATGTTGCCTCCGCCGCAACATTGAGGAGTGAAGTGTCGCTCCCTCTCTTCCTCCTCCTCCTCCTCCTCTTCTTCTTCCTCCTCCTCCTCTTCTTCCTCCCTTTCCTTCCCCAGCTGTCGTTGAACCTGCCTCGATCCGCTTTCCCTGGAGACATCCCACCTCCTTCTCCTTTCTCTCTCTCTGCGGGCTCTGTTATTGTTTGGCTGTTTTTCCAAAGGAGAGGAAGAAAAAGAGGAGGAACAAAAAGACATCGACGAAGGGAAAGAAGGAAGGAAGGAGAGGGAGAGAGAGAGCGAGCGAGGGAGGGAGGGAGGGAAGCCCGCGGCGCCTTCTCGGTCTCCTTTCCCTTGGAAGCCCGCCGTTCACTATGAGCTTACGCGCCTTCCGCACTGCAAGCCGGGGGGATTTCGCGCATCAGTCCCGGGTCTCCGTCTTGCAAGCCTTGCTTTGGATTTTATGTGCCGCCGCCGCCGGGTGCAGAGCCGAGCAGTATTTCAATGTAGAGGTAAGGAAGCTCAGGTGTGGGGATGGGGGGTGCGCGCCGGACCCCGCTTTCATAACATTACCCCAGGGTCGTCGATCCCTTGCATTCGCTTGGCGGGCAAGTGCTTTAGAGGGAGAGAAGGCAGTTACCCTTCCTCTGCCAAAGAAAGCTTGGCAATATAGGACTGATGGAAGAGGAAAGCACAATCTAAGGGGCATCTACACCAGGTATGGGAAAACTTGGGCCCTCCAGGAGTTTTGGGCTCCAACTCCCAGCATCCCTAATAGCCTCAGGCCCCTTCCTTTCCCCCCTCAACCGCTTAGGCTCCTGGGCTGTTAGGAATGTTGGGAGTTGAAGTCCAAAACTCCTGGAGGGCCCAAGTTTCCCCATGCCTGAATGCATGAAGTTTGACACTACTATGGTTCAGTGCTATGAAATCATGGACTGTAGGGTTTACAAGGACTTTAGACTCCTCTGCCAAAGAGTGTTGGTGCCATACCAAACTACAACTCATATAATCATAGAGTTGGAAAAGACCTCATGGACCATCCCATCCAACCCCCTGCCAAGAAGCATGAAAATTGCATTCAAAGCTCCCCGATAGATGGCCATCCAGCCTCTGTTTAAAAGTTTCCAAAGAAGGAGCCTCCACCACACTCCAGGGCAGAGAGTTCCACTGCTGAACAGCTCTCACAGTCAGGAAGTTCTTCTTAATGTTCAGATGGAATCTCCTTGCTTGAAGTTTGAAGCCATTGTTCCATATCCTAGTCTCCAGGGCAGCAGAAAACAAGCTTGCTTCCTCCTCCCTATGACTTCCTCTCACATATTTATACATGGCTATCATGTCTCCTCTTAGCCTTCTCTTCTTCAGGCTAAACTCCCAGGATTCCATAGCATTGAGCTATGGCAGTAGTGTCAAACTGAATTCATTCTACAGCATAAAGGCACCCTGAGCCTGTATGCGTACACCTTCTGGCCTAACTCTGACCTCAATCTCTTGAGTCTTATTTGAGTTTTAGGTAGCATTTTGAATGAATCCGACTTGCACATCCCTGGTTTGCTACCTCAAGTTTGCTCCTTCTTAGTTTCCCACACGAGAAGAGCTCAAGATAGTGTGATGGAAAGTGCATGACAAGTGCAAGGGCTTCCCACAGCTCAGAGTTATTATTATTATTATTTATTATTTCCTATACTTTTACCCCACCCTTCTCACCCCTGAGGTGGGACTCAGGGGTGAGAAGCATCATCGGATGCCGGCATCATAAAAACAATCAGGTCAGGAAATGCTGCCATTGTGCCCAGATGGTGCCCTCTGGTACATAGGAGTGAGGGGTGTATGTTTATGAGAAGAGCCTCTCTTACAGATGAAAGGTCCCTACCCATGGAAGAGTTTGCAAGAGGTTGGTGGGCACCATGCAACTGCCAGGGTGCTTGGGCTTCCTGCAGCTCAGAGTTTCCAGCTCCTCATCTCCAGGATCCCATTAACTCCAATGCTGGGCCAGGAAATGCTTTCATTGTGCCGAGATGGTGCCCTCTGGCACATAGGGTTTGGTAGGTGAGGGGTGTGTGAGAAAAGTCTCCCCTACAGGTGGAAGGTCCCTACCCTTGGAAGAGTTTGCAAAGGTCTGTGGGCACCATGCAAAGGATTCACCTCAGGCTGACTTAAGACAATCAGGATATCCTACAACTAACCCGTCCCTTATTAATTGAGAGGAAGAAGCCAAAAGATATTCCCGGGGGCTTTGTTAGTTGCATGTCCCTCCAGCAGCCCCAAAAAGGAAGAAAAAAGTTACCAAGTGGGGAGGAACTTTGTGCAGCTAGTTTAAATGCATGTAGGGGTGCACTCTCTGATAAGATCTCCTTGGCCTTCATCACCAGTCTTTCAAAACCCTGCTCAAGATCCTTTCACTTGGTCATACAGTACTTTCTGTTGGGTTTGACAAACCAATCCTGTGCATGGCTCACTCAGAAGTAAGCCCTGTGCAGTTCAGTAGGATTTACTTCCAGACCAGAGTTGGACTAGAGCATCCCTCTTAGTATAGAGCTGAAGATATTGGAGGTTTTCTCTGATTACTGACTTCTTTCATCATTCTGAAGGGTCATACAAGTGTGGTGGAATTCTCTCTCCTTATTTGTATGCTTGCGTTAATGCATCTTGTGGTTACATGCGTGCATTTGTATATATGCATAACATCTCATTTGCTCTAGTTTCTCCTTTTTGTTCTCTTCTTTGCACAAAAACCACACTTTCATCTTGCTCGCTTACCCCTCCTAATGTGTATGAATGTAGCTCAAGTTGCCTGTCAACTTCTGGTGACCCCATGAATTTCAGAGTTTTTTTCAGGCAAGGAAGACTCAGAGGTGTTTTTGCTAGTTCCTTCCTCTGAAAAAGACCCGACAGCACCTGGTATTTGTTAGCAGTCTCTCATCCAAGTAGTAACCAGAACTGACTGCTTAGCTTCCAGATGAGATCTGGTACTGTTACCTGTTACAGATGTTCAGAGATACCACCCATCTGTCATAACTCTCATGCTTCAACCACCAGCATCCTATTTCACTCACACTCCAGCAACTCCATCCGCTGACCCCAGTCCCCAAGGTATCTCTTATTTATGCACACCTGATAGTTTCTTTCACACCAGCTTCTCATTCCTTTAGTTCGCAAGATCGTCACACAAGATACACCCTCCCTGGTTTTGATAAAAACCTTCCACAATATCATTTCTTTCCTGTTGCTGCAGAGGATATTTAATCATGTATGAGATTTCACTGACTTCTTCAAGCTGGTCACTTAACTCTGTTGCTAAAACTATATTTCTGTACAATTTTGGTTTATTTGACATATATGGCCATGCCATCTTTGCTGTCTGTGTCCTCCTTTCTCATTCCCCTGCCTAGTTTTAAACCTCTGCCAAAAAAACCTAGGCTAAAAGCTTGCTGGAAGAAACACACATTCTAAATACCAATTATATTTTGACCTCTGATCACAGTCTTGGGAGCCCTATTATGCTGAGTCAAAGAATTGTTTCATCTAGCTCAGACTTGTCAACTCTGACTGCTGGTGTTTACATAGCATTTTTATCTAACCTTATGTGCAGATTTCTGGTTTTCCATCCAAGTATTAACCAGGCTTCTCCCTTCTTAGCTTCTGAAATGAGAAGAGACTAAGATATTGTGATGGAAAAGTAAACTACAAGTGCCAAGTCTGCTAGGCTCATTCTGCCTCTTGGAAACTTTCTCCCTATATGTGTTTGCACTCTTTCATTGTTCTTGTGGGAAGCATTCGAAAGCACTAAGGACTAAAATCTACCCAACAGTGTCTTGTTCAGGCAATACTACTGTTGAGGGAGTAAGGAAGTCGTTCAGGCTCAGGAGGGAAGCATTTGCCTCCTGTCACTGCAAATTGTTGTGCCAGCAGCCTGCTTTACAGGAAGCGGGCCAGCAGCAGATGGTGCTAGGAGATGAGGAGTGAAAGGATAGCTGTAGTCTGTTGGGAATCTAGCAAGAGGCCAGTAGCAGCAGAAACAAAAGGGGAAAGAGAAAAAAATCAACTTAATCTGAGCGGAGGTATAGGGAGAAAAAGTTTATCAAGGAAGAAAAGTCAAAGAAGGGGGCATTTGGTGTTTTCTCCAAGCACAGAGTATGTTGTCAAATCACTAACATGGCCACCACCATGGTGGGATTTGATCCTACATGAACTGGTGTTATTTATAGTACTTGATTCATTCTGATACCAGAGCAGCAGGTACATACCAACAAAAGTGAAATGAAATCTAAGAGCTTTCCAAATCTGGTATCCTCCAGGGGAATTCAACAGCAGCTAACATAATCCAGAGCACACACCATACTGCCTGGTTTGGATGGGAATTGTAGTCCATCATTTCTTCAGAGCACTGATTTGGGGAAGGCTCTTCTTATGTGGTCATCTACAGAACATAAGGTAGTCTGGAGCTAGAAAGATATTTCAAGCCTCTAGGCACTGATGCTAAATATAGTTGCTTGGGGACCAGGTGGTTGGAATATTTTTTGGTCCTTGGATAATCTCCTTGTTGCTCAGCTAAAGCAAATGATGATGTCCTGCTTATCATCCTCTGCCTCATTGCAATCAGCATGGTCTCTGCTTCCAGGCTGAAGGAAAATTAATTTCCATTTATCTTTTGAGTATGGCTAAGAGCTTTTCAAGTGCCATTTGTTGTAAAATGGAGCAGCCGTGACCACAATGCAGAGGCAATGTGAGGCTAAGGGCTTGGCAGCATTATGGTGACACCCTGCCATGGATTTCTCTGTGTCAGCATCAGACCCATAAAATACTTATACAAGACAATAAATCAGTACAAAGCCATCCTTTCTTGAGCACAGCAAATGCTGTTCCAGGAGTAATTTAAATAAAGCCAGAAATGCGAGTGTATGTGCATGCAAGTGCACTGTACACCAGTGTTCAGTGAGCTGGCTGTTGAACAAACATTTCTGATGGTCTGGGCAATAGGTCTTAAACTGTTAGTATATTCACTGTTTGAGATTGGTTAGAATTATTTTTGCAGTTTTTAAATCTGAAATACTAAAATAATAGGTGTTAACAGTTCATACATTTTGTAACTGTGTTTTTTGGTCAATATATAATTCTGCAAACTTGCATTGTTGTAATAAAGGGATGTTTCATTCATGTGATTTGAACATAATGTATTGTTAGTCTTCCTTCTGCTTCTTTGGTTCCATCCAACATTGTACTGCAGAAGGACTTAATGCAAGTAGGTTTTCTTGGCCTTTCTTCATCTTGGCAGCCCCCAACCTCCTATGAATGCTATAAAGATTATCATGATCCTCATAATCAGGGTGAGGTTACTTTGGCCAGATTGGCCGGGGGGGGGGGGGGGGGGGGGGGGGGGGGGGGGGAGGTCCCTAAAGATTGGGTGGAGGAACATGGTGAAAGTTCAGTTTGCTGCCAATATGACACAGTTGGCTAGAATTCAACACTCTTAATACTGTAAGCCAACAATGTATTTGACGTATTTAGGTAACAT